ATTCTGGGAGGTACTCTGAACAGTAGTGATGTACACATGTAATGAAATCAAACAACCAAGCGAACCAAATTTAAGCAATCAAAGAAGGACCATGTGGATAAATTTGTGTTCGTGTGACCCTCCGTTTTTTGTAAAATATTATCTTGAAAAAATCGGTTTCAAACACCAAACACAAGCAAGAATACAACTAACCAACAAACCAAATGCAAGGAAGGCTTGGTTTTTTCGGGGCGCTTTGTGCCCTCCCCAAACCTTTCCAGCCTTCGACCAGCCAACCAAACCAACACCAAAACGCAAAAAACAGAAACACAATAATATCCCAAGTGCAGCTGTCAGACATCGGTTTGTACTAGTCGTAATGAATGCCCTTGCTACTAGTAGCGTCCTTGCTACTAGTAGCGATGCACCTTGTTACTAGTAGACGAGTAGCTTTTTGTTACTAGTAGTAATGCCTAGTTGGAGCCGGCCTTCAGCCGTTTGGGTGCCTTCTGCGCCGTGCCTGGCATATATATATATAATTGCCGCGCTCAAGCGTATCAGCCTTTGCAGCCCTTGCAGCCTGCCAGCGGTACAGTAGGGAGAACATTCATGGATGAGGAACATGTTCATTTCCAAACAAGACCCCAAAGACGCCTTCCTGCAAACTGACTTGCCGGGGCAGCGAAGCAAACCAACCACGCACGCACAAAACCCCACTATGGAGTGATGTAATCCCAAAACCCATCATGTGCCTGCACTCAGACAGTTGCCTTTTTTCTTGTTCGGACTATTTCTTGATGCCGGAAGGTGATAGTCTGATCAGTTTTGTTCTGTAGTCTGTGGGCATTTCGATTGTGGCTGCCGATAGGCCTGGGAGAGCTTCTGCAACAAGGTTTCACCATCGAAGGCCATTGGAGCTTCATGGGATGGGACTTTTGTCAAATCCTCAGAGACCAGCGAAACAATAAACAAAACCTTGGCAAGTGATGGAAGTGATTTGAGTCCTTTGACTTATTGTTTCGGGGTGCTGGTGTCAAATGCTATGCCCCGCTTTTTGACCGATGTTCTCTGACTGACATCCTTATAGCATGCCACTTCCACGATCCAAGATTCAAGGCTTCTTGCACGAGCTTGAGTCGGTCTACCCTGACTGGGTTGTGCCAATGAGCGCACCCCCTTACAGCGATGAAAAGCCAACGGGTTAAAACAAACAGCGCTGCAGTGCTGCCGTGCGACGCAACTCGGCAGAGACTGGGGAAAGGCAGAGGCAGATGAAAAACCGAGGCTGTGATGATTGGCCCTTTCAGCGCTTTCCACACCCGAGCGTGTTTGGCAGTTGCTGCTGCGAGGCTGGCATGCACCATGCCGATCCGGCCGAACTGATGAGACGAAAGTAGCAGATGGTGTTTTGATATGTTTTGATATACTGTAACAATCAGAGATGATGAGACGAATACGATTTGCTTTCATAGACTACGCCACGTAGAAACAGTTTTCACAACCGAATTCTTACACGGGTAGACCGAGCTGATGCAACTCATGGCTGCTCAGCTCCTTGTGGCAAAGCTTCCCAAGAGATATTAGAAACAATAAGCTACTAGGAACAAGTGCATCGCTTCTAGTAACAAGTGCCTTACTAGTAGTAACAAGAAGCTATTAGAAACAAGAAGAGCCAACAGTCACGACACAAAACAAACATGCATTCTGATGTGCACAGGCTCCCAGCACAGGCCACTGGCCGCTACAGCCATTGAGCAGTCAGTCAGGGCAGCGTTCTTCTGTGTCCGGTGTCAGTCTTTTGTGGTGCTACCCGGAATCAAGCCTGTTCTCGCCTGACGTATCATTACCTTCTGATACTCGGTTTTCTGTGAATCTGTTAGACGGAGGCTGTGCGTGCTCTTGGAAATCATGCCCGTGCTGTGGCCAATCAACAAACTTAGGTGATAAGACACCATGGCCAGCCGCACGTTCTTGCCAAATGTTAGGATCTGTTGGGTAAAATGGGGCTTGCCTCGCCTCCACACTGCGGCTTGCAACTGCTCTATTGCAAGACGTAAGATTCACCTGTGTTGGCACGACATGTTGTTAATTCTATTCATCATCATCATCATCATCATCATCAGCAGCAGCAGCAGCAGCAGCACCTTATCTACTTTGGCTCGCCGGTAGGGTTTTTTCCATGCTGCATCCTGACATGCTTTGACAAAGGGATCCTACTCCATTTCCTACTCTCAGAGTACAACAAGAATCAACATGAGAGGAAGATAGAGGAAGTTTAGACATGTTGACCAGAGTGAATGTGTGTCATGTTGAGTGGCACGGCATGTTTGTTTAATCCAATCCTGTGGGGCACATAGTCGGGGCCAAGACACAAGAAGTAATAGAAAATTATGCAATTTGGAACGCATACGCGCTGGATCTTCCAAACAAACCCGCAGCAAACATTGAAGGAGTCATGTGCTTTCTTGCAAGGCAACAATTAACAAGCGACCTTGCCCCGATCAGATGCAGATTGAAATATGCTTGCGTTGGACAAACTTTTGTGGGAGCATTTGCCTGCCTATGGCAATCTCCCCCTGTCCATGGAGCCGTTGGTGTGGGGAGTATCCATGATGAACTTCGCTAGTAGGTTGGAGGAGATCGCTATTTGGTTGGCCTTCACTCCTATGCTTCCTCGATCGGGACAGGATTCCTGTGTCTATGTGTCTTCTTTGGCTTGATTCTTTGAGGTTTTCTATTCGATCAAGTGCGCCACGTCTTTTCATTGGGCGATTTTTCGAGGAACACCTGGTGTCCACAATTTTCGGTTTTGTCTTCTTTTGGGACGGACAGTGCCCGGGATGCTGAATAGGCCTGACATATTCTGTTGGAGACAATTGTGTAGAATTCAACATCGGGCTTCCAATTTCAAGGTCTGCCAACTCAGGCCTGCTTGATATGGGTATGACCTTCAGGCAAACATGGAAATTAGTTCACAAGCGCAGCAGATTGCTTGCTCAACCAATGACAGTCCAAAGCAAGCACTCATGTTTCAGGAGTGGGGTAGCTTAAGAGCAGGAGCTTACATCATTGAAACCTCCGAATTTGTGTAAATCCCTCATGCTGAGGGAGGGACGGCCAGGCCCACATGCGCACATCAGCCTATATTTCTGTAAAAAGATGCCAGTGGCACTCAAAGGCGACAACACCTCCTGACAACCCCCCACCAAAAAATGAAGTGCGATTTAGCAAAAACCGGGGGTTCCAGGCAGACGGGAGGTTGGCGAAGCGTCCTGGAGAATTTGTGTAATGCTTTTACAGACTGATTGTCGACTAATGAAAAGGTCCTAGTAGCCTTCTTACTACCTCACCTTCATTGCTGCGGTGAGGGGACCTCACGCGAGGTTCCTTCTTTGCTAGTAATTTTAATTAGATTCTAATTAAATTCTATAGCTTCTTGTTACTACTAGTAAGGCACTTGTTACTAGAAGCGATGCTTCTCCCTAGCAGCTTACTAATGAATGATTGTCGACTTGATTGGAGAGACTTTGGCGAGGCAGAAGCTGATGAAGCGGTTTTCCTCCTACGAACCCTTCAACAAGATGGCCGATGCAGTGCTTTACGGAGGGCTTGTGGCACTGATCCTTGGCGAAGTATTGTCCTTCTGTTAGTTTTCCCCCGGATTGGGTTTTCGTTGCTTTTCATCATCAATACTGGCATCGCTACTAGGAGCTACTAGGAGCAAGGGCATTACTACTAGGAGCAAGGGCACTACTGTTACTAGTAGCTCCTGGCATCGCAGCTACCGTGAACCTTTGCAGAACGGCTTTGAATGTTTGGAACATGACTGAGGACTTATTCGCTGGTAGCTCTGTCGGCCACGGCCTTTCAATCCGTTTGGTCAGCTATTCTTGCTTGATCTGGCTAACTACAAGCTGTGTTGGTTCAAGAGCTGCAATGCAATGACAAAAATAGCTCTGTATATAGATGACCAATGCGGATTTTTTTCTAGGGGTGCGGTGGGGGGATTCAATACTGAAGGCACAGGTTATTCCTCTTTCCTCTGTGACACGCACGCAGTAGTGCGATTCCTTTCTGTTGTTGAGGCCAAAGCCAGGCGCTTTCGGATGTTGTCTGTATTGTCCTTGCCGAGGCTAATTGCAAACACACCGCGCAAGATGCAGTACAGTTTGTGCGGTATGATTGCGAGGACGGACACACAGATTTTTTCTGCAGAGAGCGGAACTGCCACAGTGTGTAGCTGCCTACTTTCAGGAAGGAAAATACAATCCCGTGGCCTCGCTATTGTTAACCACCTCCGAGGGCGCCGTAAAGCGGCTCTTCTCGAGGCGACGTTACAGAACAGATGCAAACAAGTCACAGTAAGTAGCTTCTTGCTCCTAGTAGAAAGGCCAGGAGCCCCTAGCAGCTTCTTGTTACTAGTAGCGATGCCCTTGCTTCATCATATCGAGTGGAGGCATGACGCCAACGAAATTCATTTCAGGCAGGAATCAGGTGGAGCAGGTGTGATTGCACAGCAAAGCGGCCTCAGGAACGAACTTCTAGCATTTTTGTCCTACACGAGCCTGAACATTGGCCTTACAGGCCAGTGGAGAAAGAGTGTTTGTGAGTGTATGCGCCACCAGAACTAGAGCTGCGATGTCAGGGGTCCAGGTGCCATCTGGAAATTTTACCGGCTCTATGCTCATTGGTGGGCAGTGAGCCCAGACATAACTGCTCAGAGAGGCAACGAGGATCGGCCGCGGGCACACGCAGGCTGATCGGCCGCATGATGGGCGCTTTGGTGCGGGACTACGGCCCGGGAATGGCGGTGTCCGCCTCTCAGGCTTTCAGGTGCAAGCGCTGAGAAGCTGTCCGATCCAACCTCCGTGACTAGCGGGACTAGCGGCCTCCAACCTACTAGCTGGAATGAGGTCCGGTGTGTATGCAATGGTTGGCAGTGCCTCCATGCTGTGTGGTTTCAAACAAATGGCAGTGGCGGTGGTGGTTTTCATCACAGGAGACTGTCGTTCTGGGAGCCGTTAAAAGTGACGTTCAATGACATTGCCTTTGGCAATGATAGTTTTGCTTTCTTTCGTAGAAAGCGTTACTTTTGCATGCAAACTCTTCTTAAAGGAGCTGCCAATGACCTCGGCCTGGTGCCTCCATTGATGCTAGCGGTGGGGCCTTTGGTTGACTTTGTGTTTTGTCTTTCTGAAAGGCTTGAGAAAGGATCAGCGATTAGAATCGCTAGAACTATTGAACATAAATCTAAACTGTTCAAAACGATAAAAAGTCTAAACTGTTTTATTTCTAAATCTATTTTGTTATTGTTTCTCGTTTAGGTGACCATCTCTTTGCTCCTGAACAAGCAAATCAATGAAAGGGGCTTCGACGAGGCCACCTCCCCAGTCACGAAGAATCCTTCTCTGCCAGTGGGCGCTTCCCAACCTCCAAGGAGCAGATTCTAAGGAAGGCCATTCCTTTTCTGCCAGTGCCTTGCTTGAAGCAGGTTTAAGGTCAGTCAAGTGTGTGTGTGTGTGACATCTATTTTTTTTGGGGGGGTTTCATTCTTGGTATTTTCACAAGGCACTTTGTCATTTTCCTGATCAACATTCTCGTATTTTCACCTTCGGCTCACTTCACCTGGCAATCTGCACATCCAAGCGCGTCACGTTGGATGTTTCTTGCCCATGGGACTGTGCCTAACAAGGTTCGCTACTAGGAGCAAAGGGCATCGCTACTAGGAGCGATCGGACGCTACTAGGGGCTCCTGGCTTTACTACTAGTAACGAGAGGACGCTACTAATGATCTGCTGAGCAGACTTGGACGAATAGACAGTGGCCCCCAAGCCGATCACAGAGGTTGAAGTGTTTAGATTGGAGATATTTCTTTGGAAATGCCCGAGTCGAAGACGAGCGTAGAACGGATGTGAACGGATGTGAACGTAGTTTCGTAGAAACATACTTCTTGTGGCGTAGATCTTCAGCTCAGTCTGCTCTTGAGGAGGATCACTGGGAGTTGATAAAGACACATATGCAGATAAAACAAGTTAATTTAAGGTTCTAGTCTAATGTGCGAGCACTCGCATTACACAAAATCAACTTCAGTTGATGAACAATCAAGCTCTTGATGGGCGCTGCAGAAATGGAGTTGAAGACACCAGAACGAATGGCAGAAACAAAAGTGGATGACACATCGAGACAAGGTATCCCCACTTCTTTCTTGACTTTGTGTACTCCTTTTTCATGAAAGTGTTTGGCTTTCCTTTTGGCTTTGTGTCAACGCACGTGCATCAAAGCACGAGATGGACATTAGTAAAAACAAAGGGCATCGCTACTAGGAGCAAGGACGCTACTAGGAACAAAGGGCATTGCTACTAGGAGCAAGGGTGGCGCGGAGATGGTTAGAGATTGGGGCTTGGCAAGACGAACACGCAGGATCCCTGTAGGATAGGTAAGGGGGGCAGGCATCAAAGGCCAGATCAAACAGGAAACAATGCAACTTTTGGAACAGAAAGGGGGTTGATTGTCTCCAGGTAGGAGACGTGTAGGTCATGTCAGGAGACATGTCGGGAGGAAGGGAGATTGTAAGAATCTTCTCTAGTAGCAGTAAGCAGGTCAATCTTGATGCTAGAATTGAGAAGCTCAACACCGGGGCCATTTGGAGGTGCGTGCAGAAATGTGTGCTCGTTGTGCGCACAGCATCCTTTCCCTCTAAAACTAATTGAAGCATTCACCTTTGGAAGCAATTTGCCCATGACACCTATATGCAAAGAAGCTATTAGCAGGCCGCGGGCTCTTTTCCCCTGCTTCCTAGGAAAACCAACTACAGGCGAACTCATTCAAAATCACATAAAATCACCGGGTATGATGCATTCCTTCTGTTTGGACCTGCCGTTCTTGCCTCTCACGTTATAGACCTTAGCGTTTTGTTCTCTACTTTCCATAGACAACGGTGAAGTGTTTGCGCTGACCTTGCCCCATCTGAGCCTGAACCACCACGTCTCATGGACCGGGTTCTGGCCTACGAGCTGCGGGACGACTTGCCCCCAGAAGCCACACTGGAGCCAGAGGCGTGGTCCGCAATGGCAATGGTCAGTCGAGGTATGGTCAGTCGAGGCAGTTTCGGCTTGGACAGTTCCGAGTGACGGAAGCAGTAGAGTAGAATCTGTCGTGCATGTCAAGCGCAGGAACCTGGACGAGGTCTTACGAATCAAAACAAAGGCATCCAAAATGGTTCCCTTGTCCCTTGGCCCCTAGGGAATCGTTTCACCTGTAGTAACAAGAGGCTTTTTAGTGTGTCTTTGATCGCTACTAGTAACAAGAAGCTACTAGGTTGGAGGGCATCGCTACTAATAACAAGAAGCTTTTTAGGTCTTTGAAGCTTGTTCGTAACAAGAAAGCTCTCTAGTAAAAACACACACAAACATTTTGGATGCCTCACTCCTGGCCCCTCGCATAACGACAGAGAAAATCGAACGATGAACACTAAAGTCACTAAATATCACATCATTGTTGCTTATGCTTTTTCTTTGGCACATTGTGCTTCGCATGTTCTAAAACACTTTTGAATAATGACCACCTCACCACATTACACTTTGCCACTTTGCACACCACCACGTCGTAAGTCACAAAAACAGTAAAGTTCTTCCACATCAATAGGATACAAAACACCACGCTCTACCTAGACTCGGCCACATCACATGATCAAGAGACCGCGCACAACTATGCCACATCAAAAATCAACCACAGACACCGGATTCGACATCACCCATCACAGATCACGCACTGATCACCACATTACATGTCAGAACCTGTCACATCGCCAGGGTAAATTTCGCCACACCAAGCATCTTCCTGCATTCTGCCTTTTAACATTCGCTACTAGGAGCAAGAAGCTACTAGGGGCTCCTGGCCTTACTACTAGGAGCAAGGACGCTATTAGGGTGGAAGTCAGTGGTCATTCAATCATCGGCTTTGCCAGGGACTGGCTGGACAATTATTGCACTTTGGTGTTTTGCAACTAGCCCGTGCTTAAAGGACATTGTACTTTGTGTCAGTGCCAGTGCCAACAGAATTGTTCATTAACGTGATATGTTCTGCTGGAAATGGTGGACAGTTCAGAACTGGAACTGACCGCAGGCAGATTATAGAAGCATTGAGGCTGCACTTGAACAAGACAAGGCCGAACAAGGTTTTGTGTCATGTAAGTTTCAACATGTATCGTGCTGTTTTCAGCGGTTCGTCAAGACTTAGTGTGGTTGTAGCGCAGCAGGTTGATTGCTTTCCTGTCTTGAAAGATGGTCACTGCATTGGTGCGGGCCTTGAAGATCGTTGTTTGCTGAAGCTTGCTGCTTGAGAAAAGAAGCTACTATATAGTTACTAGTGACAAGAAGCTTTACTAGGGTGGAGGCCATCGCTATTAGGTTGGTCTATGCAAATGTCATGTGATTCATTTCCTCATTGTTGCTGTGTGGCTATCAGTTTGCTGGCGTACAAGGCCGAATCCTGTGCAGAAATCGACCAAAATGAACACATGAATTCTCCGAATTTCCCACCGTACCTGTTGTGGCCTGCGCAACGCTGTGAGAAAACCGAGAAAGCCGCACAACCAAGAACACCGTTTCTTTAAGGCGTTGCCGATACATGTAAAGATGCCACGCGTAATGCGTGGCACTCATTTTCATGCGAACTGCAGCCCTGTAAAAGGCTTTCAGCAAAAGGGATCCACCTGCTCAGAGCACTGTTCTCGCGAGAGCTGCCCGTTTTTGCTGTGTCTGGTGTTTTCTCGTTTTCTTGTTGCTTCTCCCGTTTTGCGTTTTCGCGTTTGCTGGTGGCTGGCTTAGCGGCCAAGGTGCACCGTTTGTAACCCTTGATTGAAGCTTGAAGAATTCCTGACCCCCCCATCTCACGATCCCGCGAGACGAGCCCAAACGCTCATGTCACTGGCAACCACAAAGCAGACAATGATCAGCACCTGGGTATCAGAGCACGGCGATCCGACAGAATGGAAGGCAAATTCGGTCAAAAGCGGAGGAAGGAAAGGCCGAAGGCTTTCACAAACGACAGACAAAACGGTTAGACATGGACGATAACATGAGAACTATGTACCGGATGATGTTTGACCCGAGATCATAGTTGGATGAAACCGCGATGAGGAACGGTGTGAGAGAGGAACCGGGTTTATGTACTAAAAAAGAGCCTTCTAGAGATGAGTGCATTTTTGAGTTCATCTAGGACTCGTTTGCATGTTGTTGTTTCGGGTTTGATGTAAATTTCGCATATGCGATGTCGGCAGCAGGAACTCTTGGTTTCAGTACTGTGCTGACCAGGTTTGGCAAGCAAAGTGCTTTCCTTCATGTTCGGATGCCAGTTTTGCAGCTGCATAGTCAGGAACCGCCCAATCAATTGTCTTGGTCATTGGGACTATCAGGTAGACAACGCAAAAGGATTTGTTGTCAGCCGGAGGAGTGTCCTTTTTGGGTGCAACAGCATGGCTGACAATGACAGGGAACAAGAGAAAGAAACAAATAAGAGCGGGAGAAAGAATGAGACAGAGAGGAATATAATGCTGAGACCGGATTAATAAACCGCCCCCCCGCCCACGTGGAAAGTCTAGAAGGTCTAGAAGGTCTGAGGTATCATTCATGAGGTCCACCTCCCCTCAATAATCTGCTCATGGAGTAGTCGTAGTAGTAGTCGTAGTAGGTTTCTGGTGCCCAACTAGACCATTGGGGGGAAATCAATCACCAATACTACTTTTAATTTGGGCAGTTTTCGGAGACTTTGTGGTCGGATTAACTAGGGGAGGTTTATTAATCCTATGTTTGCATTACTTTAATTACTTTGAATGACCCCCCACCGTGATATTTTAAAAATGGGACTGCGTCCAGGCAACAAGAGGCCATCTCATATGATGACAACAGCATTCGCACCACCTATTTTTTTCTCGTCTGAAGCGTGGCTTTCGTTTGCAGTTGAGCTTTTCTGTCATGTCACTGGTAGTTACAGCGTGTGAGGTGCCTAAAGACGCCCAAACGATCACAAACATGCCAGCAGACCATTTGACACATCTGTTCTGCAACCATGATGGTCGCAAAGTAAATAGGTCATAGCGGCTGCAAAGCGTGTCCCACAAAGTTGTCTTCGCACCGATAGGATACACGCACACAGAGAGAACAGCAGCGATACACCAAGGGAGGAAGGAAAAGGGAAGCAAAGGGAAGAAGAGAGAGGGGAAGGGAAGCAAGAGAAGGGAACAAAGAGAATGGAAGAAAGGGAAAGGAGAAGAGAGAAAGTAAGGGGACAAATTTGGCCCAAGTTAGCCATGCTGGTGCATTGCCTGCGGTGTTGCGCCGTGAGATGCAGTGAGGGTGGCTTTGGTGCCACCGCTGCTGTGGACCTAGAGGGCGCTCTCTAAACCGGCAATGCGGGAAGTTCTGATCTCATCTGATCTGTTTCTACTAGCTTCTTGTTACTACTAGTAAGGCACTTGTTACTAGTAGCTTATTGCTTCTATTTGTTGGCAGCTTGCAACAGTTGAGAATCCTTGAATGCATCCATTGTGTCGGTTGGATGCGGTGGATTCACTTCCGTGCACCTTGCATGAAGGTGCCACATCACCTAGGCCCTAGGCAGAGGCCAGAGTCAGTATGGGACTACACTCCGGATCCGGCCGTTGGAAGGACAGTTGAAGGTGCCCGGAGGTGAAGCAAGCGGTTGAAACGTTGATCCAAACGCAGCCCGGGCCTGCGGACGCCACTAGCGAACAGAAGGCGGCTCTGCAATCACAGCACAAAGCCAAGGACAACAACTGTCATGTCATGCTCCAAGCAGGCCCAAGCAGCCATAGACAAGGAACATCGACAGTTGTTTGTTCAGCCTGAAGCCTATGTCAAGTCCAGAGGCTATCGGAGTTGTGCGCAAATATGGCAGATCATCTATTGGCACAATTCGGGATTGTGACGACATACCAAAAGAAACATGCCGACAACACACACACACAACGACACACACACACACACTAGACCAGACAGCAAGCAATGATCTTACACACATGCGCACGCCGGCAGTACCAAACAACACCGCAATGATCCGCAATGCATGTAGTACCTGGACAAGCGCGACAGCAGACAGAAAGCAATGACACGCAAAATTGCAAAACCAAATGCAACCACAACAGTATAATTACCCAGGGATGCCTCGAGTGCGGGTGCGGGGTATTAGCAGGTTGGAGGCCATTGCTCTCAGGATGGAGGCATCGTAAAGTAATTCGCCATTTTGTCGTTCTTGGTTTCGTCCTCGCTGAGGGTTCACCACCCGAGCACGTCTCCAAGCTGCACTGGAAGTTTGGAAGGCGGGCTGAAGGGCTGCCGCAAAAATATGAAAAACAACATGTGAGTTTGGCGCCGGCGAATTTTGGCAGAGAAGTTTTGCGTTCAAATAACGCAAATTTGACGTAAATATGTGTATGTACATGTATACAGGTCCAATGTTTCTAGATTTTAGTTTCGAATATAATGTTAAGGGCAGAAACTGCAGCGGAAAGGCTAGCTAGTAGCTTGCAAGTAGTTAGGGTAAACTGACATGGAGCTATCCAGGCTGGACACAGGTTGCACTTCAGGTTTCTTCAAGGAACCACGGAATCTTGACAGGGGGGATATGCATCAAAAAACTGACAAACAAAAATAACATTAGAACTTGAATTCACAAGAAATGCCTTTTGCTCCTAGTAGCGTCCTTGCTCTTAGTAGCGATGCCCTTTGTTCCTAGTAGTGTCCTTGTTCCTAGTAGTAAGGCCAGGAGCCCCTAGTAGCTTCTTGCTCTTAGAGACCCACTAAGGCTAGGAAGGAACCAGTCCAACCTCAAACGCCCGAGGCCAAAACGAGGACAAACTTTATAACCCCGTTTGTGGGCCGCTCGTGTCGCTGGTCTTAAGCAGCAAGTTCGTGGGTGGATTCCCTCAATTCCAGGCCACGGGCTTCGTTGAAGCGGGAGGAGCGCGACCACAGGTGGGGTGTCAGATATGATATGATATGTCGTTCATTTTGTAAAAAACCATCAGGCATTTGTTCCCCAGGCTCTTTCAGATGCTGGTGGGGAGCAAATGGGCAAGTTGATCTCAGTTACGGTAGCAAGGCCTCCACTGCGACGTTTCAAAGCAGTGTGCGTTGTGTCAAAGGTGCGTTGATTCCAACACTTTCCACTAGGGAATCCAGCTTCTCTGGGAATGTCCTGCCGGTGAAGCGCTTAACCGAAAAGGCTCCTTACACTATTTTAGAGGCCGCGGGACGCACTGCCAGCAACTGGCCTTGGTCAACTTCAGCCAGAAACGTTTTTGCCAGGATATGCCAGGGCCGAGGCTTTATGCCTTGTTTGCCAAGGACACCTTGAATGTGCAGAGCAGAGGAAGAAACAAAGACACTTCTTTGGTGGTTCTATTGTATGAATCCAGGCCGGCGCCAAAGCTGCATCGGTGATCTCAGAGAAGGGAGAGCAATGATCTTAGACCGAGATGCAGCATGAACACTGGCAAGATAATCTGTGATAAAACTATTCCTGAAGAAATGTAACGCAGCACCTGGTCAACCAATTTGCAGGTTCAAAGGGATGATTTCCAGGAAGGGCTTGATTTCGATTGCTCGCAGATATGAGGAGGTGTGGCATGCGGTGTGGCATGTCTTCTTTCTTTGTTCATAGTCACTTGGAGGAATCAGACCAAGCCCAGTACGATGACACCATTGGTGATGAGGACGAAGAGCAGAGTTTGGTCAATACCCCAGCTGAACGAGCAGAGTCCACAAACTCTTGCCATGCAAGGTTGGAGGCCATCGCTAGTAGGTTGGAGGCCATCGCTAATGCCTCCACAAACACCTCAGGTCATTCCCCCAAATCCGTGAGCAAGCAGTGGCCGTGCCTGTACAGTGACGTTTTGTTTCTGAACATTGTTTCATGTTGTTTCTTTGTCTCACTACAGCATCTTCTGCAGAAGAAAATGGCCAGCTGCGTCTCCATGTTGAATAATTAGCATGTTTGGAATGATTCTATTTCTGGCTTCACATTTGGCATCATTTGGGCGTTTGCATTTGGCCACCACCTCTTTTCCATGCCCTTTGTGCAGCACTTGGGCTTGCATGAAAGGTGCAAGTGGAAGTGGCTGGGGCAATCTTAGCCATTGATGCAGCAAAAAGTGCTCACCTCACTGTGTCTAAATCAATCGGCCTGACACTTCCCATCATGATGCCCTAAGCCCCTACAAAATGCGGTTTAGCTGCGACACGTTCCATGCTGCAGCTGCGAAACATAGCATTAGGCATTAAGGCATAGTTAGTAAGGCCATTATTTGGGAAGACAAGTGCTTTTCTTATCAGAATGTTGGATCAATCAGAGGCTCGACAATAGACCATCTAGGCATTTGATCATTTGTGTGAATGCAGTATTTAGGACCTTCATGCCATGGAAGCACAGCTGGAGCAGGAGACCAGTACACCTCGCCCCCAATCCCGCCGCCTCCTGAGAAACACATGTGCGAACTTGGTGTGCAATTAACCTTATCACCCCCACCCCATCCGCCCGTCAACACCCCCATGGCGACGCAACCGAAACTTTCCAGACACAAACCATGTCAGCCATCTACATGGAGTTTGCTGCGCAGTGCCTGGAAAGCCAAACCCAACCTCAAAGCATAGATTTGAGCGGCCACGTTTCTGGCCGCAATAACTAACACATCCCCCCGTCAGGAAGGCCCTGGGTGACTCAGCAACAAGGGAGGTTGGTCCGGTTGGTGTGATGAGCGGCGCAACTTGGGCATATCGTGTGACTCCTTACTCGTCAGTGTGTGAGCTCAACGTTGTAGAAAGACGAATCACTTTGATCGTATTAGGCCATTGCTTCAGATGTACGAGGCGAAGATTTCGCAACTTGGAAAGCTGTAGAGCTTTACCGTGTTGAGGAGACCTGCTTGTTGCACTGCTAGTGGGCCCGTTTGCAAAATCATCGTTCTGCACGAACTTTGAGGCATAGCTTTGGCAGTTGCAATTCTCTTACTTTGTGCGGCTGTTGGCTACGCAGTGTCATTGGATTCTGAGCTGAAGCAGCGTTGAATTGGGTCGCGCGAGCATGGAAGATTGGTCGGTTTGGCATTTTAGCGTCCTTTGCGCCTAGTCTCACCATAGATGGATTCAATTATTTGCGAGGCTTTGAAGGGGCAACCAGTTCACTACTCTGAGGAAGTTGCTGTGAGGCACGGAAGTTGCTGGGGGGTACGGGTAAGGAGACGTGAAGCTATTGGTGATGCGCAGGATGGCGCAATTGGCCGGAGCAGCGTATTGCTCCCCGTCATCCTTGAAGGCACGTGTTGTACTAAGCAAGTAGCCGTGCTTTTGTGCCGGTAGTCCACATGTCAAATCAATCATGTGCACTCTGACGAATTCTTCGGGACTTGCATTTTCTTCGAAGCTCCTGGAACACTCCGAATCTCCGAGCTGACTTTGCCCCGCTACTGTGCATCGCTACTAGGAACTCATGCAGTGAAGTGTTGCACGAGGACACCTCAATCTTGCTCATTATGTGTTTGCTGCAGCAATCTAATAGCGATGGCCTCCACCCTAGTAGCGATGGCCTTCAACCGAGGGATGGCCTCCACCATAGCACTCAACAGTATGTGTTTGCTGGCAGTTCGGGAGCACCGCGTCATCGTTGGCACATTGCCGTGTACACACCTGCTGCTGCGCGATGTTCATCAAATTGCAACCGAGCCTGAAAAGTCTTTGTCAACGAGTTGTGCGCACGAATGTGTTTGCTAGGACCTAGAAACCTTGTGGCAATAGTTGCAATATTAGATTGATCATTTTCTTGGGTCCGATCCAACACCCACTCCCCGTCTCACTGAAAGTTTGGGTTTTGATAGCTTCACTTGTACCGCAAAAAGAAACAATCTCAAAACATATACTGTATATAATTGACTAGCAAACCTTGCCAGTTTGTCAAATTGTTCTTTGAGCGCAGGCATGGAGTTGCGGAAGCAAATGCTTGACGTCAGTGTCAATGCCGAAGGTAGCTCGCCTGGACATTGAGCCTGGTCGTTTGCTTCAAAAGATCTTGTTTCGTGCAGGTGTGCATAGGCACAACTACGCAAGCCTTTGTCGCCAAATTTGAGGTCCGTCCGCTGGGTTTACATGTTGGGCCCATCCAGTTGCTAGAGTGCACCATTTTGGGGGCCCAGGCCCAGAGCGGAGGGCACATACCAGAATGGCCAAACGCTTTTTCGCTAATATTTAGGTTGGAGGCCATCGCTGCTAGGATGGAGGCCATTGGGCTGGACGCCTGATCCTGGGGCCCATATGGCCTCATGGGAACTGTTCCAGCGCTCACTTGAGCATTGTGTTCAGCCAGGTCATGCGGTGTGCATTTAGGTATTGTAAAAGCTGTAGCGTCGTAGCGTTCTATAAATGTGTGGGCAAGAATCCCAAACCTGCACAGTCTGCGCACAGTTTGAATTAGGTGACCTGCTTGGATGTTTTTGTGACCTTAGGACAAATGAATTAGGCTAGAAGCTACTAGGGGCTCCTGGCATCGCTACTAGGAGCAAGGACGCTACTAGGGGCTCTTCAGTGATTTCGTGTTCTTCAAGGAAACTTCCCCCTGCCCTCAGGGCGGGGAGCTTCCTTGAAGGAACCTGAGCGCTTTCCTGCATCCCAGCTACTAGATAAACTTCCGTTTGGTCCTAGGTCTACTTACTCCTCAGTCCCGGCCTGCAACCCCCTCCCTCCCCGGAGGATGATAAAAGCAGACCATGTTTGAATTTGTCATGCATCTTGAGCCGGGCCGGGCCTTGAACATTGGTGCAGGGAGATGGCATCATAAGCTTTGAAGGCACCAAGAGCTACATGTCGATGGTTCAAGCCCAATGGCTTAGCAATGTGCATTTGGCCTTGTTATCTACTGATCACTCAAGAATGCAACACAATTCTTTGCCGGCTGTTTTGCAAAGGTTTTCATCCTTTTCGGTTTTCGAGATGACGGTGACAGTTCCCAGGATCTCAGAATCTGGAAGAATCTTACTGATTGGCACACTGGTGGTAAAGCGCGCTGGCTGCAAATTGAAGGGCACCACAATTTCTCCATGTGACATGGAAACACTTTTTTTTTGCGGACATGAGCGGACATGAGGTCCACGAAGGGTTTTTAACCGCAGCGCCCTCAAAGTCGCCGTGCTTCCATAGTTTCCTTTGGAGTGTCATTTGTTTTACGATCTCATCTCGGCATCCCAAGGAGTGGGAGAGTTTGCGCAGCTGTGTGATGGATGCTTTGGTGACCATTGGCTTCCCCAAAGGATCTGGGATCAGAGTCAAGAGCTTGGACAAACACGATGTACCGAACGCATGTGGAACAGATGAACGACGCGGGTGAGGGAGACGAGTGTACGTGTGTGACCGTCCCACAATTGAGGTCACAGGCCACTCGTTGGGCGGCGCAGTCAGCAGATCTGACACGCTTCCAGTTTCCACAATGCCACCAACCTAATAGCAAAAAGAACTCAATAGGAATGGCCTCCAACCTGGTAGCGATGGCCTCCAACCTATTCATTCCATGCTAGATACTGCTCTGGAAATCTCTTGAATTCTTTACGCCAGGTGTGCTGGCAATGGCACCGCTGGCTGAACTTCTGCAATCACTAGATCACTAGATTGCATATGACTGTATGAACTACTCGTATGCGGAAGAAGGTCCAAACAGTTTCTAGAATTCGTGGGAAGCAATGAAGCGGAAGGCCTGTGGTTGCTGTTCTCCAATTCCAAATGATTCAACAATGTGGATCCCTTCCCTTGGAGATCCCCTCTATTAGGAATTACGTCCCGTCATGGATTCCAGTGGTAGTGACGATGTTTTCACAATTGTTGGTTTCAAGGTTTCATTGAACAGCTTTAGACATCTTTAAACACTTTACTTCTTGGCCCCTTTGCTCCCTACAAGTTGACAAGTTTTTGAGTTCAGTTCAAGTTTTCTGTGCCCCACGATACGAACTCTGCAGCGATGGGAACAACGAACGTGGCAGAATCATGCAGAATTTGCCGCGCGAACTCTGCGGGGATGAGAGTATCACGCATCCGCTGCACGACTATGCCTGTCACATTCACAAGCTATTCACGGCACCTGTATCTTGAAGGCCGTCATTTTGTCGTGAATGTTTGCCACGGTGTAATTTGCCAGACGCATGAAAGAGCGATTTGGTGTCAACTAGGCGCCAGCCTTTCTTGAAAGTTGCGACGCTGAAACCGGGTGAGCTCGTTTATGTAGTTGTCGTCCAGACCATCTCTTGCAGGCCCTTTGTGAAACTTGGTGCCTCAAGCGCCACTCAAAAAACGCAATGCTCCGAAGTTCGCTTCCGTTGCGTGGGGAGTTGCGCTGGTCAAGACTGTCACAGCTGCTTCGGGGACTGGTGGCACACGACATGTTTTTCCAGGTTAGACGACCTCACAAGGACAGCGTCGACGCTCGACACATTTCACCAGCACATCGGCCTCACAAACTCCATTCATATAAGGCGAGGTCTAAAAACAAAGAGAAAGAAATACAGGCTTTAGGAGTGAAAGAAAACAGAAAGAAACAAAGGGCAAAGAGAGAGAAAGACAGGTTTAAAGACCACATCGAAAAACAAGGAAATAGGAAAGACAACTGAACTGTGATATTGTGCCATGCCCGGCATTGTTTTGTGCAGTGGTTTAGGTGCTCGTATTTGTCCAGTCTACAGCTGTAGGTCGACTCACTAGAGTCAATAGACTTCTGCTTCTAGCTCTACTAGTAGTAATGCCAGGAGCCACTAGTAGCGTCCAGCAGGCTCCTTGGAATTGGATGGTGCTCCGGCAAACAGGTTGAACAGTTGATGGGGGCACCTTACTTTCATTGCATTGGGCTGGGGGAAAGTATTGTTTGCTTTTAGCGATGCCTAGAATCTTCACACAGAGGCATCGATTGGCAGAGACGCGGGGTTAAAAGCGATGGCCTCCAACCTTACAGCATTGAGCATACAAACTGTTTCCACCCGAAGGGAAC